CTGTCAGATTGCTGACTCACAGTGGTTGTATCATGACATTTACCAACCTGTCAGATTGCTGACTCACAGTGGTTGTACCGTGACACTTACCAGCCTGGCAGATTGCTGACTCACAGTGGTTGTAGCGTGACATTTACCAACCTGTCAGATTGTTGACCACGGTGGCAATACTGTGACACTTACCAACCTGTCAGATTGCTGACTCACAGTGGTTGTACCGTGACATTTACCAGCCTGGCAGATTGCTGACTCACAGTGGTTGTACCGTGACACTTACCAGCCTGGCAGATTGCTGACTCACAGTGGTTGTACAGTGACATTTACCAACCTGTCAGATTGCTGACTCACAGTGGTTGTACGGTGACATTTACCAACCTGTCAGATTGCTGACTCATATTGGTTGTACCGTGACATTTACCAACCTGTCAGATTGTTGACCACGGTGGCAATACTGTGACACTTACCAACCTGTCAGATTGCTGACTCACAGTGGTTGTACGGTGACATTTACCAACCTGTCAGATTGCTGACTCATATTGGTTGTACCGTGACATTTACCAACCTGTCAGATTGTTGACCACGGTGGCAATACTGTGACACTTACCAACCTGTCAGATTGCTGACTCACAGTGGTTGTACAGTGACATTTACCAACCTGTCAGATTGCTGACTCACATTGGTTGTACCGTGACATCTACCAACCTGTCAGATTGCTGACTCACATTGGTTGTACCGTGACATTTACCAACCTGTCAGATTGCTGACTCACAGTGGTTGTAGCGTGACATTTACCAACCTGTCAGATTGTTGACCACGGTGACAGTACTGTAACACTCACCAACCTGTCATATTGCTGACTCACAATGGTTGTACCGTGACATTTACCAACCTGTCAGATTGTTGACCACGGTGACAGTACTGTAACACTCACCAACCTGTCATATTGCTGACTCACAATGGTTGTACAGTGACATCTACCAACCTGTCAGATTGCTGACTCACATTGGTTGTACCGTGACATTTACCAACCTGTCAGATTGTTGACCACGGTGACAGTACTGTAACACTCACCAACCTGTCATATTGCTGACTCACAATGGTTGTACCGTGACATTTACCAACCTGTCAGATTGTTGACCACGGTGGCAGTACTGTGACATTTACCAACCTGCCAGATTGCTGGCACATAATGGTGTACTATGACGTCGGATTGCCGAGTCACTGTGATTTGGATAATGTTTTGAATCACTGTTATGACAATCTTATGATGTACGCCGTACATACATCTTGTGTGTAACAATTATCGTAATTAGCAAGTAAAACAATTGACGTATGCTAATTATTGGGCAGACGCGAGTAAAATTTAAATTTAATAATAATCTATGCATAGTAAGCACACCTATTTCCTGACACGTGTTTCACACAGGCCACCAATAAAATCCCCGTTGCCACCTGACCGAGGCTGTACAACTGCAGCAAAACATTTTCATTGCAGAAATGTTAAAAATAACCGACATGAATTTGTTCAATTATCCTTGCAAAACAACCATTTAAAATGACCAATCAACGTCAACGCACTGTGAATAAACTGAATCGTTATCCACTACGCTATATTCAGCTATTCAAAACAATTGCGAGGATAACGTGACACCTTCAACATATTTGATTAAATAATTTTAAAAAAAAACGTGTTACGTTTACCGAGTAAATTCCACGGGTACCATGGCAACACCTATCAAATAAAATAACGAAATACATCAGCCAGGATAAACACTGGAAATTACACGCACTTTGCGTAAATTGGATATTTATTAAATTTGCTTGCAATCTAATACAAAGTAATGGAGAAATGACAGCCACCTAGGCTACCTGACAGGACGGGGATGGCAAGACAATATTGAAAATAATGTATAAACAGAATTGGAAAGAGTCTCGAGGGATGGCATTGTTCCACTTGAAAGCCGTGCCACTCTTAGTGGTATTTTGCTTAGCAATGAATAAGTTAAATGTATTCATATATTAACTACTTCCATTTAACTGAACCAGTTCTCGGTGTGTATTGTGCATCAATTTAACGACGAGCAGTTCCATGCACATTTCACGTGGAGCTTGGATATGCAAATGTGTTTTATTTTGTTATTATTTCCATAGTGCACGTTGAGTTCACAATGAATTAATCGCCATTAAATCTACCGTCAAAGCCAACATTCCCTTTACTGTTCTTATTGATATATGCTTTATAATAGTGTTCGTTATTGAGAGACCATTTATACTACTATGACATTGGTGATACCGTCACCGTTAATTCATAGTGTACATGGCCCAGCGTGCCGATCAACTTATGACACTTTTAACATATTACACCATAGACCCCACGAATAGACCAAGACACTATGCAGATTAAACGAGTGTATATCTAGTACATGTGTACAACTTGAATATGCCACATTAAACAGCAGTCAACCGGGGAACGGTCGTGTGTAAATATTAAACACCACAACTGTTTTATTTCCCCCTTGTGTTCACACATACACTGATATTACTTATCATACGCACCTAAAATTTGGTTTAAAAAAACTAATTTCTTGTCTGTCGGTAGCATTGCGAGGAATAAAGTAAAGAATACTCTCACCAAAACCAAAACCACAGTTATTTACTGTTACTGGCCTTTATTTGGGATCACCTGTAACGACCAAGCCGATCTTAATTTAACGGGAATGAGATAAAGAAATTCTCAGCATGGAAACCGAATGTGACGGTGTTATACATACAAGTGCATATTAAATTAACACTTTATATTAATTTAGTGATCTTGAGGTCGGCTAATCTGATCATTGTGATATCGATACATTTTAGAGAATTTTGTTGACAGACGTTATCAGATACCGAGAACGGAACGAATACACATGTCTTTAAAATAAACTTATTACAAATAGGGATTGTGTTGAAAACAGTCGTGTTTATATTCATTGACTTCGGTATCGCTTATAATCAGAAATAACAGTGAATTAAATTAATTTAACACGTTCGTGGAAATAATTACCAAATATGGCTTTGTTTACGTCACGTATGACCTTGTCTTTAATTTGCTTTGTTCTTGAACCCATTGCCACCCAATGCGTAAGTGTTAATAAACTAATAAACATTATTATTACTGTGTAAGTAATACAAAGTTAAAGTGTATCGCTAATTCATATTTTTTAAAGAAACAAATTCGCATGTCAAACTCAATCGAGGGAGGGGGTAGTATGAAGAACACTGTTGTTCTAACAAAGCACTCGGTATAATTATGATCACATTCTTACCCGGGAGTATACCAAGCCGCCGCCGGGTGAGTGATCGTTCACCACAACCTATACAACTTGCACGTAATGACAATATGTTATTTACTCCACTGTTTTCAAATCACACATTGTTATAGAGAATGAATCGCCGAGATCCAAGCTTAGTCGATTCAGTAGGCTACACATTGACCTCAAGCCTTAGAAAAGATAGCAACCAGCTAGTGGGAGATTACCATCGTCTCAACACAACACATGGACATAAACACGTTCAGGTTTTATGGTGCAGTCACAATTACGAGACATACCACGAGGTCGTCTTGAGATTTTAAATTTCAACGATACAGGAATACTAATGAATTCAAAACTAAAACTAAAAACGCTCACGGGAATAACCAGTCAGGATTTTATAAAGTTTGTTGAGGTCACATTGAAGACATTGTGCCTATGTATAGAGCCTGTCACTGGGTTGCCTACATGCGTTCACAGTGATGTCATTGTTTATACATACGATATTTCCATGGTTACCAGTAGTTGTTATTGTGGAAATCATGCTTACCTTTTTGTAAACCCTTCAACAAATTACTCTTGTTAAAAATCCATGGTAAAATTGATTCAATATCGGCTTCTTTTCGTGCATCGGGTTCTTTGGTAATCAGGCTGATCACCCGTTCATACATATGTAGTGCCATAGTGGTAGTCAGTCAGACAGTCAGTCGGTCAGTTCTGTACTCGGCCACACCACACACCTCCTGCAAGACTGCATTTAGCAATCATGAACGACACAAATTCCGATTAATTTAAACATTTAAATAGACTAGGTCAGAACTCATGCATCGCATAGTAACAAGACAAGTACTTGTGTTGAAATGAGCTAGGCGAATCAAAGTGCGCTGATAACAGAAAACTGGAAAACAAACAATAATTATTTTATACATTAAAAAAATAACGGGTCATCGATCGGTTCGAGGACTGGTCATATTATGGTGTGTTATATTCGTGCATGCCGCTCGCTATGCCACTACGCTACTATTATACTGGCATAGCGAACACGTTTTAGTAGCAACAGGTTGTTGTACGTATCCAGACTGCGTATAACAATGTGCGGAGAGCGCAAATATCTATTACAAACAGCGACAAAATGTACATTTCGTATCACACAATCATCCACCGTTGCCTGTCAGCGTTCGGTGATACACCTTCTTATATATATTACCAAAACTGCTTGCAATGTGAACACCGTGTCAATATTATACGAGTTTTCATGGTACAATGCGAAGAACCCCTCTATAACAATAACATGACTGTGTTTACCTATGCGACGTATGAACCGAGCACAATCTACGAATAACTACCTTACAAATCAGCCAATAATCCCGTACGAGATAACGTTAACATGGCGGTCAGCGAACCGACATAGGGGTAGTCCACAGATCCAAGTGTCTTGTGCGCGAAAAAACTTAAAAATAGCCGACTGAGGAATGGATACGAAATCGTCTTTGTAATCCACGGTTTTAACATTCATCTCCTTAGCTGTTCCAAGTATTTGAAGTGGCAGAGTACGCCCCCAATCATTGCCTTATTTCCATTTGCTGGGAACGAATTATCACTTAGAACAAAAGCAGGATTTCGTTGATCATGGCAACATATGATAACGTTTGTTGAATAACTGTGTTGGTTGTACAGTTGTGCTAGAAATACGAACATGCTAGGATGGGCTAAACAACGCCAGAGGGGGTGCTAAAACACAAATAGAAAGCTTGCCAATAGAAAATGATGAAAACGTATTTAACGCTCCAGTGAACGGTTTCTGTCCTCGCAAAAAAGGTGAAAATAAAGGAATAGCGTCCGTACCCAGCGATGTTCTCTAATATATAAGGACATACACTAAGATGGAAGGCTGTAGACTAGCCCAGAGTCACCGATTGTACAGTCAGGTGAAGTTATTTTTCTTGATAAATGTTTTGACCTTCGGTGTCAGCATTATTCTTTGTTTAACTATAACAACAGGGAGGATTGAGGGGTACAGGCGAAGCAGTCACCTATCAACACCCGGTTATAAATATATTTACAGCTGCCTCATAATATTTACATTATACATATTTATTTCTGATACTAGTAGTGATTTTAATTTGTTTTCTATTATTTAGCTATTTTAGTAATTACTGTATTTTACTTTCCTTTATCTGATCATTTATTTTAATTGTTTATGTTTTTTCTAAAAACACATTTACTTTATTGTAATTAATTTAATACCCTAAAGAGGGTACAATGTCAATAAAGTTTACTTTACTTACTTTACTTACAAACAATACAAATAACGGGGAACCATATGGGACAAAGGTTATCGACTATTGAAGACAATAACCGATAACTAATATTGATCAAAATTTTAGATAAATCGGGGATAGTGAGATTTAATTGTTGGTCTCATTTAATTTTTTTTTCGAATTGAATAAGTGATGTAAGTTCATGTCTGCGCAGAGACTAATACAACACATTTGACAATACGTGTTAATTTTTCCAAGAAATTAAATTATCGTTAACACTGAATTACATAACGACTAGGTTTGTGTATTAATATAGACATGCTGATAATATTAATAAGAATGCAACTGTGCGCATGTGCTAAATATTCGTGGTATACATGGTATATAATTTTATAGATAAATTTTGCGGTGAATGACAGTCACATTAAACGCTGCTTTTACCTGTATACCACTACCAAACTGATTAATTTATCACGTGACAAACCAGTCACAAATAAGAAGTCAGTATAATACATTATGCTAGCCAGAGAATTAAACAGTCAGTTTATAGATGAACTAATGCCGTAGACATTGGGTCAGCATCCATTATTGATTTTAAGAATAATCTGTGTCATAAAGCGGAAAGGCCAAAGGTAGTTTCAACTCAGAAACACGTGGTATACGATGAATATGTATAAATTACACCCATGTCACCAGTAGCAACAACCTCGACTACGAAACATGACGCATAAGGCTGTGAGTGGTGTCAAGACGAATGATACAACAATGCCGGATTCAAAGCGCCTATTTTAAGGACTACCAGTAAACTGTACAGCAACCAGTAAAAGAATGTTATTGTCACAGTTATAGCAGTGTTTTGGGCTTTCGAGTCCGATCGTAAAATACTAGTACAGACAATCATTCAGACGGACGTGAAACACGGAGCACATCGTTACCAACAAATAGCCATAGGTCGATATATCCTGCCAATGAATGCAGGTTTCCGGGCCACTATTTACCACCCCCGACGTTTCGGCCAGATCCACGTTTTATATATTATCGACTGAGTCCTTGTAGTTCTATATATTTAAATATTTATTTTATTTATATTTACCAATAGCTAGTATGTCACAAATGCCGCGTATTGATATTTATTTACCAATAAATCGTACATAATCCGTTGCAACAACGTTATTTTTCTTTTACTAGTATCTGATTTGTAACCCTCCCGGGGATGTTATTTGTTAATAAATAAACAAACAAGAATGAACTAGTATTATTTAACGCATGTTGCAAGTACGGCGTATTTATATATTTAGTTTTAATTCGTACGTTGCAAGTACGAATGACCGTACTTTCAACGTACAAGTTATTAATAATTAATTAAAAATACGCCGTACTTAGAACATTGGAGTTATTAGGAAAAGACACATACGACGCTAAGTTCCACTGAACCACACCTCCTAGTGTCAATGTTTTTACATGACTTCGTTTTCGCGGGATCAGCCAAATGCAGTCAACCAGCAATGTGTTTTACCTTTAGAAAAAATGAACAATTCAATGCCCAGAGGGTTGTTTAAACTACCCCTTCAACTGAAAAAGTGAACACTGTCTCTTCATTGACAAGCAAATATGCCCTCTGCCCAAACCATTTTCAAAGTTTGCCTGCCCCGAAGACCTCCTTCATATTTCCTCTATCCGTTAAATTGCCACCCATGAGGGTCCATTTTTATGCATGGCGTAGCATTCAACCTTCCCTTCAGACAACGTATTTATAAATTATGAAACATTTCTCGTGTCCTCAAAATTTTGGGTACAGAAAAACGCCCACAACGTTTTAAAACATGCTCCTTGCTCTCATAAATATGCCATCGAAGAGCTTGTTCGATCAACAGTTCCGTTGATTGCACCTAACTGCCGAACAAGCAGCAATGATGCACACTTCTAAGATGTGTACTTAGGATACGCATTCATATCTCTCGAAGCCAGCCATTGTGTGAACGAGGATTTACAAATAAAGAAATACGTCATCATCTCCAACCATTATGGTGATATATGTATGACACAAAGTGGCCAGTCTGGAAACGTAGCAACAGCGACCAAGTGAGAAGTTATGCTATGAGCACCGGGGGATGTCACACTTGAAAGAAGCGAACGCTATAAGACAGATCATGTATACATACGCAGTAAAGTTATTTTTAATTAATTGTACAGGATTTCCAGCCGAGAAACTGTTATCACCGCACTAAAATTGATCGTTTGGTTAGCCGGTCATCGACATTTACACGGAATGTCTCGTTTTGTTCCACTGTCGTGTAGAAACGCTCGTTATGTTTGCGATTTTAGAGCTGTTTCTCCCGGTCATATATGGATGTCCCAAAGTAGGGTGAATCACATTAGCAGCAATGTGCAACTAATAGTAGTTTTAGCTCAGTATATATATGACCTGCCAAGGATAATATCATGATTGCACCATTGAATCAGACCATTGTTGAATATTATAAAGACTGTGTCCAAATTTTGTTCGACAATGATTTATGGGTTGAAAACTAAAGAGATTAACCTCAACTGAGGAGATCCAAGTGTATTCACACCAAGGCAATGTCACGCCTGAATGTGTACGCATAATTGAGTTGTATAACATTGTTACATTCCTCGCGTGCTTTGTGGCGTGTACTAATCCTTCGCATATAAACCAATTCCACCCAATTAACGTCTGGCTTTGCCTTCCAGCATAATTAATTAATGTCTACACAACCTTGCTTCACCAACCTTATACTTTGCGCTAGAGCAGATTTGTAAAGTCTTGCCAGTAAACCCCTCTGAAGATAAAGACGATATATTGTTTTACAATTGATTATGGTGTGTTTATTATATAAATATGATACAGAAAATGATATACTATAATTTTAATTCCTTCTAAAAAATATGTATTTTTTACAATTATAGAATGTCATTTAGTATGTACTGATTTAACTTCAATGCGCTGATTAAACACAAACACAATGCAGACGTGTCACGTGTTGGTGTGGTGTGTTATCGTACATTGGAACGTGAAAATAGGTTGAACAAACAAAACTAAACAAACTATAAACAAATTGGAGAAATAAGATGTGTTTTTTCGAAAAAAAAAGAAAATAACCCAGTCAAGTATAAAAAACCACGGACCAATATAAAGGGCATTCAATTTTGAAATATTCGTCGAGGCAGCATGTCAATAGTGTGTCTGTCAGCCTTACCGAGGCAGCATGTCAATAGTGTGTCTGTCAGCCTTACCGAGGCAGCATGTCAATAGTGTGTCTGTCAGCCTTACCGAGGCAGCATGTCAATAGTGTGTCTGTCAGCCTTACCGAGGCAGCATGTCAATAGTGTGTCTGTCAGCCTTACCGAGGCAGCATGTCAATAGTGTGTCTGTCAGCCTTACCGAGGCAGCATGTCAATAGTGTGTCTGTCAGCCTTACCGAGGCAGCATGTCAATAGTGTGTCTGTCAGCCTTACCGAGGCAGCATGTCAATAGTGTGTCTGTCAGCCTTACCGAGGCAGCATGTCAATAGTGTGTCTGTCAGCCTTACCGAGGCAGCATGTCAATAGTGTGTCTGTCTGCCTTACCGAGGCAGCATGTCAATAGTGTGTCTGTCTGCCTTACCGAGGCAGCATGTCAATAGTGTGTCTGTCAGCCTTACCGAGGCAGCATGTCAATAGTGTGTCTGTCTGCCTTACCGAGGCAGCATGTCAATAGTGTGTCTGTCAGCCTTACCGAGGCAGCATGTCAATAGTGTGTCTGTCTGCCTTACCGAGGCAGCATGTCAATAGTGTGTCTGTCAGCCTTACCGAGGCAGCATGTCAATAGTGTGTCTGTCTGCCTTACCGAGGCAGCATGTCAATAGTGTGTCTGTCAGCCTTACCGAGGCAGCATGTCAATAGTGTGTCTGTCAGCCTTACCGAGGCAGCATGTCAATAGTGTGTCTGTCTGCCTTACCGAGGCAGCATGTCAATAGTGTGTCTGTCAGCCTTACCTGCTACGCTTACATGTGAGGTCAGCAACACGGTGTTGTTTTGCTTGAACAGTCTGACGTTTACTGTACTCTTACAATCCTGTACTAGTTCTATGGTCAAGATCCTTTCTGGCTATTTGAATTTGTCAACATAGAACAATGTCCCTTTATTTACCAGCTACCTTGGACAACTATTGTCCTCTGAATAAGCCCTGATTGCAACTTAGAATAGTTGAAGGTTTTAGAAACGTCAGTCAGGATGAAATAGTGATAAATCCTCCTTCTATTTATAGTTGTTTATTGTGTCCATGTGGTATTATTATGCTGTGGTTTACGCTGTGAATGGTTGGTGATCATGTCTGTATGGTCACGGTGCTGTAAATAACATCTACCAATGCATCGCTAAGCATAATTATCAGGAATGTGACAATTCCGATCACGATGGTGTCTAAACACGTCTTACATACTATACATTGTGGGGAAATGATACATACGGGTGATCGAACATACGTCCTATAATCATGGCGTGGCCTCTACAATAGTATTGTAATTCGCAAAACGCGCCTAATTGACAAGAATATGCACTTTTCTAGGAATTTGTATTTTTCAACCAGAGGCATCACAGAGTAATGAAATTTACTTTCGTTCGGTGAGTCTTCGAAAATTTAACAATTTGAATTGTCTAGATTAGCGATCATATCTATTTTATGGCGACCACTATAAACTTGGTGGACCGCGGTGTAAATTTTTGCCGAATAACTGGTCGTATGGGTTTGCTGTGATATACAAACACTTGGTCAATTTCTCTAACCCGAGTAGCGAATTTCAAGTACTACGTTCTGGTCTTATACCGTAGTGCATGACCAACTTCATTTCTCAAGCAACTGCTGTATTCAATGAATGGTATTCTCCGGTCACGTCGATCATTACAGACGTCACCGTGACATCACACAATGCGAAGCTATTACTTTCCACGCAAAAACCGTTCTTCAATACACGTGTCTTTCAAAACGTACCAGCGGTGTGCCCAGAGAGAAAAAAAGTCCCCCCCCCATGCTAAAACAATACTCTGTATTGTTTGTTTGCATGTTGTTGTTTTCTTGTAGTTACGCACAATAACGTGCCAAATCAATCAACATATTGGTTGATAGTTTTTCGTCTGCTAGAAGGAAGTTCTGCTTCAACAACCAGCCTTGGCTCAAATAAACACAGCATTTCATGATGATGGCCGTTAAAGTTCAATCGACACCCTCCATTAGCGTGGTATACGCACGTTGTGCGATATGGTGGAAACCTACTGGGGTCATCTGCGAACGATAGTACTGTTTACTTATTTGTGAAACTGTTAGTTCTCATTAATATGAAATTACCCTGCTGCTGTGTCGGTTACATGTCAATCACTGATTTGACAGAAATGAGTTGATGACTGGGACATAACTGACATCTAAGACAGTTTGTGGGTTTCACCATTTATCCTCGCAAATAGAGAGTTGGAAGTGAAATGACCTGTATATTCAAAGTTGAGCGCATGCCTTGCGATTTCATTTTATGCTATGCGCATGCACGAAAGTTTCAAACGCTGCCACATGAAAGGGAACTTTACCATGGATGGCGCTGTTCAAATAAAATAAAAAAGAACTGATTAAATATTTGAAAACGAATTCATGTTTTATGAGAATAACAGACTGCTCCTCATAGAGGTCAAAATATCCTTGAGATTGCAATCCGAGGAGCAAGACAACTTGGCATGACAATCTATGAAAGAGAGGTCAGAATACATCCAAGTATAGATTACGTGCACTTTGACATTGGATCGTGTTTATTGCCAAGGCCGTTACTGTAAATCTAACTATAAACATTCGTCAGCTAAAATAAACTTTAAAGTCAGGTATTTTATAAAGGCAATGGCCTTTATACAAACACGGGAGGTCTGACATTTCTGTGTAACTTCACTTCGGGCGCAATTGCTTAGTATATTTAGAGAGTAAACCTGTATTCATGCGCGGACATTGTTAACAACTTGTATTGAGCGACGGAAAAATAATTCTTCGTATTATATACGTTGCATTGTTTGAACGGATGTTAACAAATGGATACATAGGTTTGATTGTAACTGTGTGTTCGTGCAGTACTGCCGAGTCATGCTCCTAGCACCACATTATTTAATACATATGCCGCTTTTTAAATAGAACAAGTTGATATATTTCCGTTGAGGATACAAGCTGTAGTGTTCCGGGTTGAACGTATACGCACAGCGGTAATTCTGACAAATTTGTTGTCATACACTCTTGGGTGTTGGTATGCAGCACAGCGCACAGTTCATGTTGTACATGCGTAGTGTGTATATCCGTTCATGATATTGACAACGACTGGCTATCACCTGTCATCGTCTGTCAGAATTAAATCTCTGACATATGTGAAGCACAGAGTGAGACTGGTGTATTGGATGACAATAATAAGCACATGTTGATTGTATCCACGATGTTATTGGCATTTGTTTACTGTAACTTACTGTAAGGACACTCTCGTAAGTTAAAGATGATGGACATACACACGATAACGAGAACTTAATATTAACTGAGAAAAATGTGTTTCAAGTGAAATAAAACCGTGAACCGGGCTTATATCAAAAGATATCCAGATCATGTTATCCATAAACACGAGTGTATACGGTAATCAGAGATATGATGGCGTCAACGTTAAAATGTTATCTGAATAAAGCTTGAAAGTTCGAAACTAGCATGATTCTAATTTGTTTTTATCTGGGAACAAATTCGAACTCAAATTTTGAAATCCTTGCAAGTTTGTTCGTTGACTAATGGGAAGTTCGAAGCTAGTATGATTCTCTAGTCGTTTTTATTCGCTTATGAATTCGAACTCAAATTTCGAAATCGTCAATCCTTGCAAGTTTGTTCGGTGACTAACGGGAGTGCGAGTTACGGTAATTTTAAAACAAATTTAATAGTTTACGATCTTCAACAGCCAAAGTATTCATTTACATTCAAGCTCATAAAATAAATATCTAGATAAAATGAAGCTATTTTTTTCTTTGTTGATGAGAAAGACGCGACCTTGAAAGTCGAGCGGAGGCGTTTGGGCACGTGATCAATAATTGCATCCTGTCGAGCCTCGACATGGTGAGTACATCAGTACGAGTCAACAGTGACAACTATTAAAGTTCTTAATTGAGACCAAGACATCAGACAAGAAGATAGTGTCCAGTGTACTGGCAAATATCTGACACATTCTCTCTTATATTCATTGACGTGGAAACCATTTGGAATTCAAAGTTTTCACATCATGTCCAAATACTGGTTTCTCATCGTATTCCTGGTATGCTGCTTGGCAACGTCCGCATTAACCATCGGTGAGCTACTTTATGTTACTTCGTTCACTCAGTGTGTTGGCCCGACATACTTTTTTTTCTTTGATATTGTGCCAAACTGACTCCAGATTGTGTTACGGCTTTACCGTAGAATGTGATGTAACTGTTTAAGTTGTTTATAGATCATGCGACAGACGTGTTTATACATAACAAGTGCAATTTTCAATAGTTACATTAAAACATGTAGTATCCTTGGTGATGGAACTGAAATATTACACATGCATGCGCATGTGTTTATCGTTGTGTTTCAGATATTGATGGAGTGGGTTGCTCGCAGCAAACCTGTTATGCACGAACAGGCAATCTGGTTATTGGGCGCCAACTGAAGACACTTTCCGAGTGTGGCAAGGATAGGGGAGAGAAGTTCTGCGTTCTTGAGTCATGCGATAACATTGAGTGCTACAAGTGCAATACAAAGTAAGTCATTGAAGATTAAAAATGGATCAACTTTAGATCTGTGTTTGTAGTATTTTTTTTATTATTATTTCATTTGTTTTATTCAGAACGTGAGAAACATTATGCACATAATTGACAGCGAAAGATTGAATGGGGAAATGGTTATATACAAACTTTTATGCGCAGCAGTTCACTTCAGTTCATTGCAGTACGTAGGCGTTGCGTGTTGTATGTAGCGAATAGAGCAGAGGATGCGGTGATAATAGTTGAAAATACACAGTTATTGATTTATTAGTTTGTGTTTGTGATAGACAGGAAAAGGAGGCACATAAAACATCTGTTGTTCTTGTTTTTTATATTATTTCTCATCTTGTTTACAGGAAAGCAAGCAAAGCTCATCCAGCAAGTCACATGATTGATTCTTCTCTGACTCAGCTCGACACATGGTGGCAGTCATCACTCGGTGTGACACCGGAAACAATTCAATTAGATTTTGAAGGCCATTTCTATTTCACTTATCTTGTGATGGTGTTTAAAAATGCTCGGCCTGCAGCGATGGTGATTGAGCGTTCCGACGATTTTGCCCAGACTTGGCGGAAATACGCCTACTACTCCAACAATTGCACGGCGCAGTTTGGAATGGCCGAAGATGATGACGTAGACAGTGATGGCGCAGTCTGCACCTCGCGATACTCCCAAATTCAACCGTGTTCCAATGGGGAGGTAAGATCTATACTATATCATCTAAAACAAACACACATGCGTGTCTAGCGTCCAACTGTAACATCTCAAGATTATGAATACAATGGATAGTCAGTATTTGTTCCGAAATCGAGGGTAATATTTCACCATAATACATACACGATACAGCCACAATTTAAACAGCTGGTTTTTATCACCTATGAACAATAACATCACCCATAAACAAAGTATCGGAGTGCTAATTTATAATATATCTCAGGGGAGTGCAGAAGTTGAAATTAGAGGAGTTGGATTACTACGAGTAAAACAATAACGTCTTGTATATACCATCTCAAAATAATTATGGTACTAGTAAGTCTGCGTGGTTAAGTGGTGTTCTTGGTGGTCCGAGTATGTGCTAAAATTAGCTCGCAAACCAACAATGTTATAAACAATTTACTTTAGATTTGCACTCAGCACGCTTTATACATCACATTTCTGACCCACCCAAGTAGACGATGATGCGTCCCTTTCAAAGTAGTAACCACGTGACGACCAAGTAGGAATGCCACACGACTATAAAGCTGTCGTATTTCTGTCATAAAAGTTCAACTTTGAGATTTACTATTTTTTGACTTCTGATTGGCTCGAATTATTTGTCTGATTCGTTCAAATGTTTGACTTCTGATTGGCTAAACAAATTGACTTCCGGATTGGCTTAAATGTTTGGCATCTGATTGGCTCAAATGTTTGATACGTGTTTTACTGAAATTGCTTGTCTTCATCAATGACTCAACTGTTTGAGTTCAGAGTGTTGGTTGATTGATGTTGTTTGGTTTATGAATGCCTAAATGACAGCACGATAGTGATACTTGCAATGGATTGGTTGAATGTCGACGTACGATAATGACATGTGGTTTTGCAAATAAAGAATTAGGCACAGGTTACCTTTAGGTGGTTAATCTGCACATATATATTCTTTTACATAACCATTAGACAAATAGGGTTTACCTGTAGCGCATCAAATGTAATTATATAATGAATTAGTGCGGTCAAATTGAAAAGAGAAATAGGAAGGAATGTAAAAAGTATAGGGCCGAAATTAATTAAGTAATTAATTAATAGAGAAATTAATTAAGTATGTCGTTAATGCATGGTGGCAGTCATCACTCGTTGTGACACCGGAAACAATTCAATTAGATCTTGAAAGCCATTTTATTTCAAGTGTTCAAATACTAAGTGTGCTAGTTGTGGTCGTTTGTCGGAAGCCTTAGACCACAAACGCATTTGGTATATTACATTTTATTTAACTACGCTGCAAGTATGGATATATGTAGTACAGTATGTTCTCTTAACGCCAACCCATCTCGTGTGAAAAGTGCATATATCCCGTTCATAAAGTTATTTTCCTTTCAGCGCAACAAAGGAAACTCACCTCATCATAAATAATTATAAATTTCACAATTTAAACGGGAACGAGAAGTTTCTATTGGTCGGTTGAAATATATCGGAACGTTTTCAAATAACGTCGTTATGCGCTGTGCCCATTGATTGGCTGGGTTGGATTCAATTGCCATCATGATTGAAATTACTGTATCAATATTTATGAAGACAAAAGGAATGGCTTTGTTGCACGGAAAGTATTTAAAATAAAATATCTAAAACGGGATATGTTTTATCACTTAGTAAATGGGTGATTATATAAAAGTAAAACAAACTTTGCACGAGTAAGTCTATTGATGTCTAGCAACCACAGTTGTTTACAGTTTGGGCTAGTTTACGTTGACAATACCTAGAACATTGTTACGTCAGATTGGATCGCGTTGCCCGGCAATCCCATACCCGATAGTGGGCAGTAACTCTTCGGTCCTATATAATACATATCGGTAAATTAATAGCATTTATTTCACGACACTTGTACGCCAGATTATTGTGCTCCCAAGTACACTGAATTGCATGGATACAAATCCAATATGTCGTGTGTCAGAAGATATTGATAAGATTGCCGCGATACAAATCCATTGAATGGGATATCGATGAGGTACGCAAGTATTGACCTTTAACGCACTTAATGTGTAAGCTAAAACAATACACGATCAACAATTGTAATACCACCCGTTTTGCACATCAATGAGCTAACTGTCGGATCCGTTATTGGATTCCATACAAAAACGTTCAGTTGCTGCGTTGTCATTTTTCGAACTTGTGATCGCAAAGAGAGAGAGAGCGAGAGGGGGCGTTTTGTTCTATATCTTGTTGTCGTTTGTTTACAGATTTACTGAGTAAAATGAGTCAGAGATACTTAGTCAATATTAATCTGAGAAAAGGTGAAGAATGACATTTCGCATATCTGCATGAGCTGACTAATTCAACTTTTCAAAAACGAGGATAATTTTTCATTTGAGGTGAAAAACAAATCATGAAATTATTTTACAGTTGTTATACTATATTAATGTCTGTTTTAATTCAAAACTTAATTTTATCTTAGATAAAGACGGGTCGGGCAAGTTGTTTTTGGCAGATCTCGTGATTCCACAATCAATCAAAATTGTCCAAAATTGGCTAATTTGATGTTTAGTTTTGCAATTGAAGTAATTGTTACGTTTTTCCTGCTATTGTGTATTGTAAAATTGTTGAGATATAACAAACGCCGGAAAATGATAATCCAAAATATTCAAAATAAAAAAACAAACAGGATGTATACACAGTCGCCATATTTGTGACATAGTTGCAATACACTATGTTTAAATGGCCGTAAAACCTACTCAAATGAGTTTGTCACTGTTTTGGCAGACGTTATGGGCAGAACACGTTATGACGGTATTAATTGTAAAGACGAACACTTGTCAGCCTGCTTTATTTCACTTACTGTGCAAGTTAATGCATAACACGTGTTTCGTATAGCGTGTGAGTTTATAGGATTAAATATCAACTATATAATTATTTTAGTTCATGTTCAAAAATCTAATCTCTGACGTCGATTATCCCAATCTGAAGTTATTACAGTCAAAGTATGCGTTTGAGCTCCGTGGTCGATATAAGGATCTTTGTTTTGCATTTGATAAACATCATTTCAAAATAATCTCAGGTCTTAGAATCGCTACATGTCCATTCGTTATATATACCGCTGTATACTGTAAAACACTTTGAAATAGCTGCATACCATTTTAGCGAATTTGACTCAATGCATGAATTAACTGAATCTTAATTTAGCTAAAGTGCCAATAATCTTACTGTGAGAATACTCTATTCTAATTAGCGACATCTTAATTTAGCGAAATTGTGGATTAGCTAAATTAGCTATTATAACATGCTAGCTAAAACATGTTTTACAGTATTTATGATTTATTACTGCCTTGTGATTGACTTATGGTATAACAAAGTTACACCTGATTGAAAGTTGTCACTGGTTGAACCACCGTACACTTTCCTTAGAGATGCACTTCACACTGAGTTGTAATACATACAAATCGAACAAAACAGTCGTATTTTACACGCAGGACGTGACGAATAACAGCGTGATTTTAGCTCTAGCTTAACGTGTCAAAAGGTTACACATGTATTGCACCACAGTCTATAAGGGTGACATATCCTCACAATATAACTACAATGATGTAAAACGTGAATGAAATCCTTGATTAGAATTACTAAGCATTGTGAGCTTTATATTGAAGACATTATATGCGACAAATCAGGCACACAACCAATCAGTGAACTCAATTCACCCCCGAGTGACTCTAACAATTGATCTGTGTACGCAGGACTGTAGGTGGGCCCTAGTTTCAGGTTCAACTCACGTTGCTATACAACGTGTGGTCTCGTTACTAGCATCACGACACGCATCAACGCTCAACTGAGGTGTGTGTTGTCTGTGTCCTAATAGAACTCGCGCATATTGTCATGGTTTAGTGTATGTAAAACGTGATACATTTAAACCCAAGTAAGTGTCGGCGGTTAGCTCAAGAATACATACATTCAAGTACAATCCATTGAGGATATTTTGAGACGTATATAAATACGTCGTTTAAGATTTGTTACTGGACTAATTTATACGCAAGGGGGTTCTGGGTCGACCGGAAATAATATTCTACGGTAATTTCGTGAAACAGGTTACACGGTAGTTTATACCCATACACGCAAACACAGTGTTGACAATGTGTCGAATACAGACCGCTCACTTTCTGATCAGACCCCCTATTACTGTCATAAGTAAAGGCTTACCTGTATCAGTCTAGTTTCACATCTCTCGCGCTGAACTAACTTGGCGTTGTAATCTGACACTACCAGTGTAACACGATGTGGCGTCTCTATTGTCTAAACACCACTGGTCCAATATGATTCCCCGGTTAATACGTAGTTACAGTCGAACGACCCCGCTGCTAAGGACACAGTCACACAAGTTATGACACATCGAATGGTGTGCTACCGAGTTCGCGGTACATGAGTGACCAATGTGCGCATGTCACATTTGGCAATCACAACACAATTTTACATTCAGTTCTTCTAATCTGATCTTTTCTCGTACCAACTTTAGATGTAGGTCTTGCACAGATCGAATAATACATTGAGATCGAACCATTATAATGACCGGTGCATGTAATCGTGCATGGCTACTCGTCCTAATCCCCCTTCTATGTGATTGGTATCAAGTGCTTAGTTACTATCAATATCAATGCTTTGAGGGTCTACTTTCTGTCGTGAATAAGCATGTTTCGTATCAGAGTATCATGTGATTCGATGTAACTGTTTACATACCCTAGCCCTACCCAATCTTAAACAGGTGTTTGCCATCTGTTGAGGTGGACATTTCAAGAAGCAAAAAGACATCGAACACGGTGCTTACAAAATACTAATTTTCTCTTTTAGCACATGCTGTATATAATAACTTTTCCGTTGAAATGATATGTATTACGTGGCACAGATGATATTGAAGTATATACTATTATGGGATATATGTTGTTTGATTGTAGGTCATATTTCGATCACTTCTTCCTACGCGTGGACGGTTTGATCCTTACGGCATGGAAGCCCAGGATCGAATGAAAATTACAAATCTACGAATAAAGCTACTGAAATCTCAGCGTTGCATTCCATGTCAAGCCGAGATTAACAGCATGGAGTATAAACTATCCAAAATGGATTACTTCGCGGTGTCTAACGTCATAGTCGGAGGAACATGCTTCTGTAATGGTCATGCTAGTGAATGTGTCCCTTTGTCAGTGGAGAGTTCAGATAACCAACCACCAAACAAGGTAAGATAACCACGTGATAGTCAATATCCCCACTGTGCACATTATTTACACTTTGCATAGACAACAATGTAAGAAATTGACAATTAGGTTTGTTTATACTTACTGGTCAAAGAGTAGTGTATGAAATACCATGGAGTTAGCTTTCAGCTCAATTGAAATAATGACAAAGGGTGAGCAGCATACGTAGTATTCCTTGTCTCACCTCCAATTAAGGGTGAGTAGTGTGGTATATTTTGTTTTTGCCACCAAAGGGTGAGTAGTGTTGTAACTTTTGTTTTACCACCAAAGGGTGAGAAGTGTTGTAACTTTGGTTTTACCACCAAAGGGTGAGTAGTGTGGTGTCTTTTGTTTTACCACCAAAGAGTAACAGTCACAGTGCTTGAATGTAACTGAATCCAACATTGGACAATTTCGCCCAGCCGATAACTCAATGTAATGCCAGTCCACTTTTTCAGAAGCAACTGTTTCTTTTTTACTGAAAGCCCAGTTAAATGGGCGGTCTGACTGTTCTGTTGTTAGATTGAATAAAACACACTATCTGATCTGATAATGAAATACACGCACAAGTTTTCAAAACGTTATTTGATACTGTGACTGCGGACAAACATAATCTGTCTAATTGTAGCGTGGAACTTCTAGACTACAATGTCACGTGGTATTGTATTTCGTTTGTTAATGTTCTAGAATAGACATTTCCATATTTTTGAAATAATCGTCAATTCTGTTCTCAGAATTATTATAAATGAATTGATTGATTGAAACTTTAGCTACTCCACAAATTAAATTAGTTCATTTCATATAAGTGATGAGTGATATGGCTGGTGTTGCCATAACAACAACCTCGTGGTCATAGGTCATATACGCATTACGGCTGCGAAAACGTCTGTCGTTGCGTCTAGACTGCTCCATTCGTTGTTGCAATCTACCATAAACTGGTCTTAACAAAAACGCAGTCAAACAGTGATTCAGTACACCGGAAAACACCAAACGAAACCACGGTGGAACAAACACTAAAGTCAACAGCGTGAACGCCAAACAAGTACTTGTGGAACATGCACTCAAATATGAAAACAAAGGTTGTATCTTAACGTACCTGGCTTAGAGAATGGCAAACTGTACAATGGCTGCCCCAGGTAGTTCAGTTTACTATGAATGACATGAACGTGACTCCTGACAATGTATTGCATTCAATTTTGACAATACTAACAATGATGTAGGGATTTTGTTTAGAATGTAAAATCGATTGTATCTACAACAGAAAACGCAGAACGTCCTTTCGTATTTTAACGAGTGTGGCCCGGCCATTGTCACGGTCACTGGAGACGGATACGTACACTAACCATTCACAACAAGCAGGTAGTTATTACACCTAACAACAGGGTATGCGAGTTTACATGAAATGCCCTGAAACATCAAACAAAAGTTCTGCTCATGAAAATGAGTTTGGTGAATTACTGAATTAGTGTTTTCTCTGGGTAGCACATCAATGTCCCATTGTACACCCTGGGTAGCACGCCAATGTCCCATTGTATACCCGAAGTGTGAACATTTGTGAATCCAACATTCTATATTGTAATGATGTTATCTAATAGCCCCTGGTAACCATCCATAGTGGTATATTACTAACGTGCCGAGTGATTGGTAAATACTGTACTCAATTGGGCGCTACTGTTGGATGTTTGTTATACGTGAGTGAAAATTGGAAATAAAATGGCAATAACTTATTCCTAATAACAGTAAATATTTCATTTTCACAAGATTCACGGCAAATGTTTGTGTTAACACAACACTGATGTTGATGATGTTATCTATTAGCCCCTCGTAACCAACCAGGTGGTATATTTACTAATGTGCCGAGTGATTGGTAAATACTTGATTGGTAAATACCCTTGTTGGTGGTTTGTAAATACTTATACTCAATTGGGCACTACTGTTGGATGTTTGTTCTTCGTGAAAATTGAAAATAAAATGGCAATAATTTATTCCTAATAACAGCAAATATTTCACTTTCACAAGGTTCACGGCAAATGTGTATGTCAACACAACACTGATGGTGACGACTGTGAACAGTGTCTGCCATTATTCAACGACGCCCCCTGGAGGCCGGCTAATGGTTTAACTGGTGAACCGAACCAATGTAAACGTAAGTACGACTCTGGCGTTCTTCGATTTCGAATTACATTAAGACATGAGACTTTGATTCAAGTTAAAGTTTATTATTTTCGTTTTTTGTCATTTTTCGATTTTTTTATTTTATGTAATGTAGAGTCAAAATATCCTTTGTGAGACCGAATGAACCTAAAACAGGTTAATTTACGAAAATTAAGAAAAAAATGTGTTTACATATACATATTCAGTATACCTTAATATTTTGAACTTGTATTTATTCATTTGTTACCACTATTTTGTTTTGTTTTTTGGATCAGTATCACAATGATTAATCAGACATATTCATATTGGTCATATTCGGCCTTTAATTTTAAAATGACCAATTTTGGCCGAACAAATGTGTTATATTATCCCGTGTGAATATGATTTAAATTCGTCTCTGGCTTGGAACAAACTACGCCAAAATACAAATCAGAAAAAAATGGATTTAAATCCATATCTGGTTTTGGGTGGATTAGACTTAACGTGTGTTTCGAGGGGAAGCATTTTCTCAAATAGAAATTTAATTGTATTACATTCACTATTACCCAATGTATCAAGTAATTCTAACGTAATTATTGTGTATGTTTTACAATTATAGTTGTCAATCGATATATGTTGTAAGGACAAACAAAATAAAGACAAATAGTGGTGAAAATTAAGAACTGTCACGTTTGTTTCCTTGATTTGTTGGTTTGAAATTCATGTCTGGTTCTGCTATCACAGAAAGAAATTAAAAAAAACATTAAACTAGATTGTTTGCCTATGTTTCCTGACGGACTTAAATAAGATTTTTCCTTTCGTCTATTATTTTATTTTCTAGGTTATGACAAAACATCTAGTTTAAATACTAGTGTTCATATTTGGCCTTTAATTTAATTTTTTTTAAATATCCATTTTAGTTGAACCAATTTTTTAAATATTTCAGATGAATAGGACTTAAATCAGAATCATATTCAAATGGATTCAAATAACATATTTTCAAATTTTTCCTGGCGAATTCTTGCCCCGATCAGATGGAATTGCATTCTCTTCGTGGCGGACTCTGGTCGAAACTGATGAATTTAACTCCGTCTGAAAACCTCGGTGGGAAAATGTTAAATCCATAAAAGTTATTTGTATCAGATTATTTGGATATAGTAGTTTTTGCACTGTACTGCAAGTTTCATTCCAGTCAAACTAGTTTGAGACATCGGTGGAAGAAGATTTGACACAGACATATATATGATCTGACTTACGTTGGTACGACGTTACCTTGTACATATGTGAACTAAAAGACATGAACAACAGCCTCAGCTCATTTTGTTCAGTGAATACGCTGCTGCTTTTCGACACTCCGTACAACATTGGTACCATGGTAAAAACATATGTATAATCTTATTAGTCGGCTGTTTGTAGCAATTCTTAATAACTTCACATTTTCTTCAGAATGTGAATGCAATGGACATGCCGATTCCTGTCATTTTGATTCTAAGTTATGGGACTCGACGAATTACGTTACTGGCGGAGTGTGCGACAGCTGTAAGCATCACACAACTGGCACAAATTGTCAACTGTGCGAATCTGGTTATTATAGAGATTCTACAAAGGAGTTTACTGCAGCAAATGCATGCAAACGTGAGTATAAAACACAGAATTCGTCGTGGTCAGTACTTTCAGGGATACCTAGCATATGTGGACTTTTTCCACAAAATATTAAATTTTCAAGCTTACCCCATCCGTAATACAAATACTGCGTATATCATTTGAATTTTTCCAACTTATTGTATTTATGTCAATATTTGCAAATATATGTATCATTTTCTGTGTGATTTTGGTTATTTTCTTCTTCATAACTCCAATTAATGGATACTACACTATTATTGTAGGGTGTCGATGTGATCCTACTGGTACCAGCAATCGTCCATGCGATGAAGCAAGCGGTATATGTTTCTGTAAGAAAGGTGTGGCCGAACCACTATGCGATATGTGTCTACCTGGTTACTATGGTTTCGGTAGAAATGGATGCCGTGAATGCACATGTGGGGAGGGCATTGGTTGTGACGCGAACACAGGTGCTTGTCCCAAGACGACACGAAGAAATAGAAAGAACAATCGTGATACGAGTAGGAATTCCAAAAGAAGAGAGCGACAGTTTCGTTTGTCTGTCGGTGCGTAACATTTTATAGTATACATTACTAATCAGTTTGTTAGCTTAGCATGTATCGTGCAACAACAGGACATAAATTTCAATATATGATATAAGTGGAAATAACCAGCCTTGTTTTCAATGACAGAAATGTCGCCTATTTGAACGTGAAAAAACATAAATCATTGTTTCCAATAATGTAGGACTTCTTATTCCTTCTTTTTGTCTAAAATTATTGTCACATATCAACATGAATAAGTTATCATTCTATGATTCAGTATCTATGATCAGCAAAAACTAAATGAAGATGTACCGGTAATATTTAATATCCACTTAATGTCTATATATTTTAGTAGTTACTAGCATTGTTAAATAAACTCAAACCCAGCATAATAGTACAACTAGATGATGAGAACGTCACTGATGTCCTAATGTCGCGTACACATTATTTTATAATATTTACTACGGTATTTCATCTAAACATCTTCCAATTAAAACCATTCACGTTAAATCTAAATCTCCTCGAAAAACCT